GGAATGTGATAATACTTTCATAAACTTGATCAGTTGTGTTGACTATACACTGCCATTTTGTTCTTAGCAAATACAAGTCACATGAGCTGGGATCTGATTGGTCAATATAGGAAGGACATAGAAGGGAGATAACTTATAAAAGAGGTATATGTGGCACACTGGGATGTAAAATATCCAAGCTAGTTCAGCAAGGGTGAAAACTGCAATATTATATTCATGAAACTCCTATGATTCAGGAATAGTGAATGTGTGAGTTGAGTTTTACGCCGCACTCAGCAATATGCCAGCTATATGGCCCGTGGTCTGTAAATAATCGAGTCTGGACCAGACAATCCAGTGATCAACAGCATGAGCATCGATCTGCGCAATTGGGAACCAATGGCATGTGTCAACCAAGCCAGGGAGCCTGACCACCCGATCCCGTTAGTCGCCTCATACGACAAGCATGGGTTACTGAAGGTTCATTCTAACCCGGATCTTCACGGGTAGATTCAGGAAGATGTAGTAATACACAACTAATACACACATGAGATAACAAACATATATCCTACTAAGGCTATGAAATAAAACAAATTTCTAAATTAAACACCTAGAAAAAATCTATATACAATTACTCAGAAAGAGTTTTGTGCAATGCACACTCAAACCTATGTGGTGAAAACTTATCTGAATATATATGTACACCTTATCCGCAATATACACCCATATTCAACTCGATACACCTTAACGTCTAGATCTGTCAAGACTGATAAAAATGTCTACCAAACCAAAATTAAGAAATATACTGAAGAAATAGATATATTATATAATTGGTTCGTGAATTTTTAACACCTTCTATTCTTGAGATCCCAAGCAGAATAGATGGCAGTGTATGCCTGAATTTATGCATTTGAAAGACATTTGTGTAACGCAGATAAGGCTTTTGATTGACTGAGACTGATATGTAAATAAGTACCATATATGGATGTATATTGGAACTGACAGTACCATGCATGTAGGACATTTAAAACCTTGTCATGCTATGATAAGACAACCACAGGAAATGATGGATGTGATCGTAATGGTGTGATATCATGAAATAGTCATATTACCTCATTGTTATCACGGATTTGTTACAAATAAATGTTTCTCACAAATATAGTATTTAAGAAATATACTAATTTCCTGAAACATATGTAGAAACAGAGGACAATTTGTTTCTTAAATTTTGCATAGAACAGTATTTCAGCTGTATAGCAGCCAGTCAGTTTGAAGTAGTTGGAAAACCCTGAAGCGATCCAGGTCTTCGATAATTACAACTGTGTTGAACCAACAAGCATGGTTATAGTGTGAAATACCTAGAAGGTTATTCAGGAAGAAATGGGATCTGAACTTCTAATCACAGGATTCTGCCATGTCTAAGGGAAGTAACTCTGCAAAGGCACCTGTGTCATCTTTCATGATTGGTCCACCAATAAAAGCCCTGTTTACTGAAGACATGGCCATAATTTTACAGACCTATTTCTGGCTCTTCACTTCAGTTAGAGCGTGGGTCAGTAAATCATTGAGATAAAGTGAAAATAATCCCATCAGACAGCTCACACGCGAGAGTTTTGAACAGTATCTGTTATATAATGAATTGTCAGCTTGATGTGGGAGAAAAACCCACATGGGTGATGGGTGTTTAGACATTCACCAGTGAGTTGCAACCAACAATCACGTCTGAAAACCTAAGGGACACAACTCTGAACTGCAAATTAACATCTGCAGTGTTAGGGTACCTTTGTGATTGGAAATAAGTCCTAAGAATAAGGTCATGGTGCTATCAATGATATCGTTATGACTTGTTGAATAAATATATTATCAATACTGACTTTATGACTTTTTTTTCCTATGACATTTTTTCCTACTAAATTCCATGACTTTTTTCCTTTGACTTTTCCTTCTACAACTGTCCCCTTCACAAGAATAAACTGATGGGATCACATACTATTCAAAACAAATTAAGGACCACTGATTCTTTTATATTACTGTGGTATAAGAGGCGACTAATGGGATCAGGTGGTCAGGCTCGCTGACTTGGTAGACACATCATCGGTTCCCAATTGCGCAGATCGATGCTCCTGTTGTTGATCACTGAATTGTCTGGTCCAGACTCGATTATTTACAGACCACCGCCATATAGCTGGAATATTGCTGAGTGCGGCGTAAAACTAAACTCACTCACTATTTGTCAAGCCATGACATGTCCTTTCACATTACTATAATCAGTTTGTCATGGCATAACAAATTGCAGGGATATGAAAGAAGTTAACTTCATTTGAATAACCCATCTTCTGGATCAGCATAGTTTGTTTTGTTAGTTTGTTGTGAAACTCCACACTCATCAATCTTCCCGTTTATGATGGTGATCTGTAAATAACTGAGCCTGGACCAGACAAACCTAGAAAGTAAGCTGATCAAATGATCCCCTTAGTTGCTTCTTGTGCCAAGCATGGGTTGCTGAAGATTAATTCTAACCCGGATCATCACGGTTAGCATAGCGGTACAACTGTCAATGTTTTTGTTCAAGTTTGGGAGTAACAACAGTTGCTCAGCCAATATCACTTCCCGTAACAAGGGCTAAAGGTTTCCCACGTGTTCTAGTACAGCACACAGTGATTAGCAACATGTATGCTTATAAAGTACTTAGGAAAACACTCTGTGCAACAAGTTTGTAAGTGTTAATGAACTGGGAAAGTTAGCACATTGTTGGGTGCACAAAAGGCGAGTTAATTGTAAAAGAAGTGACAAGGTTTAGTATTAATTCTCTGAAAGAAGATAATATTACAGGTTTGGTAAATGAAATGGGGCCCCATCACCATTATGCTGCGCTGAAAATATTATCTCACAGCTTAAATAAATTAAGATATTCCCAAACTGTTACTTTTACTTTAAACTCATGTAATTGAATGATCATATCAAATTAGCTTCAATGAAAAGCTTAAATCTTTAATCATTACAACTTCAGAAAGGAAATATAAATGAGGTATTTAAAAGCCTCCTCCATGTTAGCACTAAGGCTAAACTACCAGATTAATACACCTACAAAAGATTGTATTTTGTAAAGCAAGCAAAATAATCTATTAAAGACATATAATGGTAGCACTAATCTGGTAGTTTAGCCTCAGACCCAGCATGATTAGATCAAAGCGATTAGGACGAACAAGACACTCATCTTTCCCTTAAGCTTTGCTTTATACTTTGAACACAATAATATATTACACCAAGGCTGAATTCCTACATGAAATGTGTCCATTCATTCATAAAACATCTTGGAATTGTGATTATGTTAAAACTTATGCATAAATGTAGACATTGGTACATATTAGAAAAGATAGGTACAGAAATTCAATATGGACACCATGGTGGCCATTTTGAATATCAGATCCGAGCTATTGATGAAAGCATGTTACAAGAAATCCATTAGAGATAAATTCTTGTGAATAGTGATCATCAAACATTTCTTACAAATCTATCGACATCTTCTTCACTTAACATTTCAGACTCTTCTGACTGTTATTAAATCTGTCTGGGTTTATTTTCTTCTTCAAAATGTGTCTGCAGGATTGTTATCTTCGATGTTCTGAATTTAGATACTGAAGTTTCAACTAGAAAAAGAAGTTACTTTCCTTAACACGTGGACACCACAGGTTTAGCAGATGCAGAAATAATCAGTTCTGAATACTCCCTCATTCACTGAAGGACAGATGAGGTCACGGTGAAGCGATCACTTTGCCAGGTGGATGAAGGGATATACTTTTGAAAAGGAAACAATTTACTCATTTACTGGGCCAGATTACTATCTAATGATGTTAACTTCAAAGATATTTTCAACTGATGGAAAGGATATTCTTCGTACATATGGGGTTGTTTATCTTGCAGCGAGATCTCAAAATGTTTCAGATCGGAAATTGTCATCCATCTGCTAAAGGGTTCTGTGAAAGCTGTAATCTTAAGCCACTATAAGATTTCCATCACTGCCTGTCAATAGTGAGTGATTGAGTGTGGTTTTATGCTGCTTTTAGCAATAGTTCAGCAATATCATGGAGGGGGGACACCAGACATTGGCTTCACATATTGTACCCATGTGGGAATCGAACCCGGATCTTCACCGAGACAAGCGAACACTGTAACCACTAGGCTACCCCACCATCCCACCCGTCAATAAGAAACAGCCTGCATACATTCATAAATATTTCATGTGAACAACATCAATTCACAGTTAACAGACAGAAAAGCCTTGAACAGATAATTAAAAACATTAATTCCAAATTGAAAAAAACCCTCCTGCCTTAATATATTTTAGAATATTTTAGAAGGATTCTAATAATTAAACAATGATGGCTTTATCAAAGGCCAGTCACGGTTATTAATTATGAGGTTTGAGCTGTACCAATGTCTTTTAAGTAGCAAAAATCTATGGAATTATTTGTTCAAATAGTTTAAAACATGATCAAAAGGACTGACTGACTGAGTTTAGTTTTTTAGCAATATTCCAGCAATATCAAAACACATTTGTGCCCATGTGGGGAATCGAACCGGGTCTTAAAACAACCACTGATCAAAAGGATCACTGTTCACCAGTGGTGATAAAATTCATCAAGTTATCACATTATTTTGATATCGATCAGCAATAGACTTTGCACTGATTGTATTTGTTTTTATTAAACATAACAAAATTGACAACTTCCTTCTGTTTCATACTAAAATATTTCAATTTATAATTAAATTGATAAATATGAACATCTTTGAAAAATAAAATAAAAAATGTTTTGGTTAACCCATCACTCAGCAACAAACCAACCCTGACAAATACATATACACCCACAATGTTAATATGGCCATGTTAATTACCACAACATTAATTTAACCATGACTGATGACTGATTGGATGGATGAGCAACAGGATGAACGCCGATGTTATTCTGGGAGTGAAACGGGAATATAAACAATGCTGGAACATGAAATGAACATCTTACCTTTTCGATCTGTTTGAGAAAACAAAACAAAAGTCATAAAACAAATGAAATAAAAAAGAAATAAATTAAACAACTTACAGACCTCATGGAAATAGTGCCCTCTTCTTCATTTTATCATTGATACATATATATTTTTGCAAAATACAGAAATCTCACCTTAAAATCTTATAACCTTAAATGTAAACAGACGAGGTAACAATATAATGCTGACAGGCCTAGGTGCTGTATACTCACTATGCTTACAAAAGACAAGTACGGAAATCCAACATGGACACCATGGTGGCCATTTTGAATATCAGATAAAGAGAAAAAGTCTTTATCAATAGTGACCATTGGACTGTCTGATTCTTTCAAAATTCTGTGTGCCATTGCACAGTGAAACAATTAGATGTTTCTTGACATTTTTTTAGTGGTATGAATTTATCAAGTCTGTTCTATTATCTTTTCTTTTCCTGTGTGTGGATCAGTTACTTTCTATGCCTTTGAATACAAACCCAAAGCCAAGATTTGTACATTTTCTGCTCGTATAAGCATCTTGGAAAGACAAACCATTGGTTGATAGTATTAATAAACGTTCCTTGCCACTACTGCACAATGTTACATAAGCAGCAGTTGGGCCTGACTACCGAATTCAATGTTTTTACTTCTCACAACAAAATAGAAAAGTGCTGTAGACCTGCTGTAACTCGAGTCTCAGTGGGATTTTGCTGAAATGTTCTGGCTAAACTATTAGGTTATATGGAATCTCCTGTACCAAAATTTATAATATGACCTCATAAAATAATTTTGTAATCATATAAAATTTAATATTCAAAGGCAAATCATGTACCAAAATCAATCATATCATGTAAAAACAACCAACTCACACATTTTAATAACTTTGCTGAATCACATTATTCAAATGTCTTAAGATGACAATACATCAAACTGGTTACAAAAGAAAGTTATAAAAACTGTATAACTTACAAATTACAAAGTATAATTACACATCATTTCCTAAACAAAGACATCAATATTGTATATGACAGCTTGAAAAAAACAAACATATAATTTCTGTTGTACACATTTCATGGGCATGACATTTGTCCGTGACATGCAACCAGGCTCCAAGACGTGTCTCCGCCCTGACATAATGGCTGTAGATTTGTCACTTTTTGCATCATTAGATCAACCTGATCATTTCAGACTAAGCCCTTAAGTTAAAACAATACAGTGACAGCCCTCCACAGTTGGAACTACAGACTAGCTGACCATGACCAGATGATGGTCAACTCTGATCAACTGCCCATTTTAATCAGCAGTGAGTCTTATATACTGACAGTGAAAAGAAATGCATCATTTTGATCATTCTGATGTTGATTTACTCAATTTGAAGCAAATAAGACAACGCTGCCAATTTTTTAAAAATAGACCATGTATGTCTAAATGCAAACTGCAAAGGTTATATGAATTTTTAAATAAGTATTTTCTGGCTAAATTATTTCCGATCATAACAAAAGCAGAAGTCCACCATCTTGCTGCATAGAGAGGATGTAGCTCAAGTTCTTATGTTAAGCACCAATCTGAATGTCAAAGTATCCTGTATATACGTAAGTATCTTGGAAATGCTTCATAATTTGATACAGGTTCTAATACACATCCCTAATATATAAAGTTAAAAATATTCTTTCCCTATTTAACATGTCTGTTTGAGACTTAATGACTCCAAATATTTATGCCAGAAGTTGATATCAACATATGATTTGTTTTAGAAAATTTGAAAGAATTTTTAAAATCTATCAATGATATTAATGTTAATACTAACTCTATAATTACCATACTTTATTACCAGTCAGTAGTTATGATTCTAGAATTCAAATCCAAAGTTTTGATCTGTAACAAATCACAAAAACTTGCACCAGTATCAGAAAAACACACAGATAATTAGATCAATAGAACTTTGCCATCTCTCAACTAATCTGACAGGAACAAAAAACATTTGTCTTTGTTATCTACCCTTCTTTGACCTTTGAGGTAATTGCCCTGACCTCTTTCAATTCATATGATTATCGTTTTATGTCCCCTCTCTCTCCTCGTTAGGCTATTACCCTCATGAACCCCCATTTCTTGGACAGGTCAATTTCATAAACATCACACCTAATTGGCACAGAGGCTTTCACCTGGCTACATAAACCATGTGATTATTAACAGATCATAAAAGCCCTCCTTATTCTTATCAGGAATGGTCAAAGTAGGTGTAAGATTTTCTAATTATACGGATGACAAGAAATAATTACAGACATTTCTTTGTGTGAGGTCATGAAAGGAGATTGGTCCAGGGTCTGGACATAGGATTCTTAAAAAACCCAAACTACCTGTACATCAAAGAAGAAGTAGCAACCATGCAAAAAGTTTTTCAGGAAAATAAAATGATCCATTTTGCTTATGGGAATTTTTTTTTAAAATTATATTTTATTTTAAAATAAAAATGAGTTATGATGATTTTGCTTTTCGAACAAACTAAAACAAAACAGAATACATTTTGCTTTTTGAACAAAACAAAATAATTTAAAAAAAAGAAAGATGCATTTTGATTTTTTAAATAGGCAAGATGCCTTATTGTTTTTGCAAATTCATGTTGTAATTGTGAATTTTTTTTGAAAATAAGTCACCTAATTAGTAAGTCATAGTGTTGTCATATTTCCTCAGACGAACTCATCACAATATGTATGTGCGCCACCCCATCCACCCACCCATCTAAATCTACTTTTGATCTTTAAAAGGCAAGTGAATATATTTTACTTCCTATGACTCTGACAGTAGTCCTCATCCATTCCCATGCCTACAAATGTGATGTATACTTAATGCAGTGTTCCTTTCAGGTGTCAGAGTGACTTGAACAAGACTCTTGTTACTTGTTTTCTGAAGAAATCTTAACATCTGACCCATGTTATCTTCTTTGAATATTCATGAAATACTCAGAAAACCATTTATTGTTGAATATTTCCATCATGAACAAACAAAGTGACATCTCACAGTCAATGGAAATGGCATGTTTTGACAAAACACACATTCACAAAGGATTCCTTCACCAAGACATGTTTACAGTTTGGTGTTAAGCAGCAGTACTAAGGAAATCCTATGGTCGTGTTTATAATAACAATCATCTTTACACAGCAAGATGTCTGGCTAAAGACTAGCTCTGATCTCTTTTCACTGTCCTAAACAATGTCTAGGGGATTGTTTGGAGCCAGGAAGATTAGCCATGATAACCAAAATATTTTCACCTAAATCACATAATCACTTTTTGTATTGTGTACCAAATGGGTATTCACTTGAAAGCATTTCTTTCTTGCTTCAAAACTAATGGTCATTCTTGGTAAAAAAAAATAAATAATTAAATATGGTACAATATCCCTAAAAACATGTTTGACAAAATTTGGAACTTTAAAGCTTCAAAGCTTGAGATTTAGGTGTCTACATGCCAATGGAATCTACATTAGCTGTTGTAAATGATATGATTATCTTAGTAAGTATCTACAAACATGAACACCCTTCTGATAGGACTGATTAAGTCTTGACAAACTGTTGAGCTTTGACACTATTCTCACCTGTACGGCAAAACAAACAATATGAAGTGGAGAGATCAGAGAGATTAAAAGAGCTCAATCGTCAGGTTACCTGCCATTGTCGAGCCCCAATCCCATGGCAAACTCGAGGTCAGTGTCAGAGATGGCGATGGAGACTTGGAGGACTCCCACGTTGATGGCCGCTGTGACGTGGGTGTGGAATGGGGTGCCCCCAACTGCGTACAACAACACTCCCGAACCACGCTCAGTCTGAAAACAGAAGAAAAGGATTCATTAAGACTAGTGAGTGAGTGAGTTTAGTTTTACGCTGCTTTTAACAATATTCCAGCAATATCACAGTGAGGGACACCAGAATGGGCTTCACACATTGTACCCATAAGGGAATCGAACCCGGGTCTTCAGCGTGACAAGCGAACGCTTTAACCACTAGGCTACGCCACCGCCACTCATTAAGACTAATAGTGGTGGGGTAGCCTAATGGTTAAGATGCCTGGGTTTGGATTCCCTCATGTGTAAAGTCTCTTTCTGATGTCACCCGCTCTGATTGACTGATGGAATATTGATGAAAGCAGTGTAAAACCATTCTCACTCACTCACTCACAAACAGATTACTGTCTATGAAATTGTGCATGGTGGAAAACAACTTTGGGTTTTGTCAAAATTACACAGAATTCTAATGCAGAATAAGTAAAATAGTACAGTTCAATCTCCAGCATTACTATTTCCTATAAGGGACACTTTGTTCTGTTTTTTTTCAGCAATGAGAAACTATTACATCCTTCACAGATTTTTAAAAAAAATGAATGGATCAATCTGGACAAGCTATGTTATTACTGATGGGAAACTACAATACCAACTGTCAGGTGTTTGAAATCAAACACATAATACTAGATATCCATATCACAGGCGTAATGTTAAAATTTTAGATTTATATTTCGGGGAGAGACCCAAGATTGAGATTCATAAGAAGCAAAACTTGAGGACCCTAGGACCCCTTGATTTCAAACAATGCTTTTTTTATTATGTATTGTGTTCTCCCCAGGAAGCTGAGAATGAACAAAATTTGACAGCTGTATTATTAATGAGGTGCTGTGGGAATGATCTGTGTGAGATGGAATATCAGGCACCCACTACACCATTATTGAACAAACTTTATGGATAACAAGAAATTCCTGCATGACAATGGTACAAGAATCTGCATCGAAACGGCACACTCAAGAAATAAAAGAAGTTGTTATCCATAAAGTTTGTTCAATGTTGTACTTTGCAACTTCTAAAATGCCACTCAAAGAAACTAGCCATGCCACTATTACTTTTGTCTTCTCACAAGTGATTTTGAAATCCCCAACATGTTACCTTCATTGATCATTGTTTGTGCATGAGCTTGCATTATGATCAATAATTAATTTTAAAAAATTAGTTTGGTTTAAAAACTTAAATCATCAGAACAAAGACAATAGACTACACAAACACTTCTGATACAAGCTGTGAAAACATTGATATTTAAACCCAATATTTCATTTCTGGAGAAAAAACTACCCTTTAAATCTATTATGTTTAATTGTTTTATCAAATGGTAATCTTATCCATAGCCTTCACAAAGTTCTGGGAAGCATCAGAAGTCCCTTTAAGTGAGTGTTATCATGAAAACTAGTCACAGTTAGTGATACCCATCCCACAAGGTTGTCCCCTGGGCTCTGTATCACTTCTCCTCAAGTATCCAATCATTGTTCATGATCACTGTGATATAAGACCTGTATTACCCAGAAACCTGTACAAAGGAGATCAGAGACAGTAGCGGCACCTAGACTACAACGAACAGTCACCAGCGACATGGGTTCATCTGTGTCACAAACCACTCCCCAGAACAGGTTTTTTATTGACACACTTGAAAGAAATATGGACAGAGTGCATCCCCCTGCCAAGCCCCAGTGATAAACCCTCAATATGGTCTGCTTCACGATAACATTGCTTCATGATAACACACCCCTTATTTCTATATGCCTCTTTGTGACATGATTATAGAAAAGAATATTTGTACCGGTACGTTTATATCTCAGAACATGTAAAGTGAGAAACATTAACAAAAATCATGAATTTGATTTAAATAAAATCCAAGTTTCAATGTCATATCGATGAATATCTAACTTTGTTCACCACTTTTGTCCATTATAAAGCATTTTCAATACATCATTTACCTGAAGCTGAGGCAGATGGTCTGACTGATCAAATATTACAGCACAAACATATTCATGATCAATAATGCTTGACAATTTGTAAAGCCAAAACAGTCATAATTCATGTTTCTGATGGGATTCAGCTGTGCCAGTCAACTTTCAACATTCTAATACTCTACTTCATGTTAAAGTTTAAATTAATTGTGTTCCAAATCTATTTAATCTGGACACAAAGAAATATTCTCAAACCACTGGACTACGATCACAGTTTGATCTATCTAGCTCCAAATCCAGCAGGAGAACTGATTAAGCAAAATCATTCCATCCCCAATGCCTTAAAATAGAACCTAAACTACATTTCAATGTAAATTGATTTGCTTAATCCATTTACCAAAACTTTTGTTCAGAGGAGAAGTGTGTTTCTTCTTCACTAGCAGGGTTGATAGTTTTTGTTAGATAAGGGAGAGCATATAAATTCTACAGGATATAAAAGTCTCAGGTTTATCTCTGAGGTGTTATAAATAAAAGGAGAATCACACTTGCAAATTGGAAAAATAAACCTGGCTTAAAGATCACAGCTTGTTTTTTTGTTTGTGTGTAGAGTTATAAATCATCTGTATTACTGGACCACACATGACAGTGTAATGTGATCACACTTCATAAGGATTATATCATATTGAAAGGAAATAATTTTTAAAATGCTTGCATTGCAAATTCTAACATGAATGTTTTAATACTCAATGAAAGAAACTAAAAATTCTAGTCAGAAGATTTTTAATAGAAATAACAATTTTACTTGTAAAAGTAAATGCTGGTAAAACCATGCTCACTCACAAATACTTCTCATGCTTTCACAGTTTTTCATATTTTTTCTCCTCAGCCAATGTTCCATGATATGAATTCAGATAAATATATTGATCCTGGCAGACAGATTCTGATATCAGGATTAAAACAATGTGAGCGGTCTGACTTCTTTGAGTGGCATTTTAGAAGTTGGGACGTACAATATAGACATTGATTGTAAGTGGTCTGGTACAGAAGAAACTCCACCAACACTCAGTAATTTAATCTGGTTTGAATGCCATGTCCTTGAATGGGCGACATTGACAAAACACATACCACCTCTGTCAAGGCATTCAAATGGCTAAGACTTCTTTTTGTATTACTTCCAGGAACTGCATTACCATTCCAATGTCTGTGAGAGCTTTCCATGTACCCTAACAGGGCTTATATTGCTACCAAGCCTTCACACTGGTGCATATTCAAACCATCAACCAATAAAATGACCCCATCACAAATGTCTTGTTTCTCTGGCTTCCTTAAGGTTATATTATGGGTTTTTTCCCTCTGTTTTCCTATTTCTATAAATATTCAGAGGAGACAGACTGTCATTAACATTAATGTTTGTCTTGCATGTCCTGAGCTATCAGTTTAACTGTTTTCGCATGTCTGTAGCAGAGCAGACGTCAAATGTTGAAGAGCAGACGGCAGATCAGCATACTGAATGATGGCAATTGAGATCAACTGCATGCATGATAAAGACTATTTTCAGTCTGCCGTAACAAATTCTGCCCACGTGGTCAATCTATTCCTCAAGGTTCAGTGAGTAGAATCACATCCCAGCTCAAAAAAAAGCTGATCCTGTTTGGTCCTACAAACCACAACATGCTTCAAGTATTAAGAAATCAATGATCTGTCAAATGTAAATCATTGTTTTAGGAAGTGAAAGGATTTATACTCCTGGGCTCAGATCATCATCAGTCTGATTGATTGCAAATTTGCAATACAAACGTGATAATTTTAGGAAAACAAGTCAACTTCTGGCATCATATGTGAACCTGTGACATTAAATAGCTCCTTTGCTTCTCTCTATGAACAAACATTTGTTCAACACCTACACATTTGCTGCTTTTAAAGAGTAATTACCAGTTCAGTCCAGTCCTCGCCCAGACCAATTATTAAATAAAACACCCCCATCCTCAGCTTTAACAGCCATCATGCTTTGTGTTCATATGAACACAGCTTAAGCGAACCCGAAAAACTTTTCATCAATACTTTAAATCACTTACCTTGAACTCAAACGAGATTCGAATTTTGTCGGCCACCAATCTATCTTCTTTCTTCTCATACAGTTGGTAGGTGACCCACTCATAGCCCCTGAATGTCATCACAGTCGGACCTGAATAACACAACAAACATGTTGTTAATGTTGTGAAATAGGGTTTAATGGCATGTTCAAGATTATTCGAATTGACCAAATGTTCAGATCAAGGTCTCTAAATACTTTTCTGGTGAATTGTTTGATAGGCATTGTAGAAGTTGGTGACAAAGCATACAATGATATGGATTTACAACTTCTTAAAGTTCTTTATTAATTACAACACAACGTTTCTGGACTACTTCTTGCTCCTTCATCAGGTCCAATGAACTTCTTGTTTATTGTATAGAGCAATAGATTCATCCACTGTTATCAACCTTAGACTTTTATTACTTCAATATTTTTCAGGCTGTTAGTGAGTGAGTGAGTGAGTGAGTGAGTGAGTGAGTGAGTGAGTGAGTGAGTGAGTGAGTGAGTGAGTGAGTGAGTGAGTGAGTGAGTGAGTGAGTGAGTGAGTTAATTTCAACATGTCTTGAGCAGTCTTTCAGTTTCATAACAACATAATGTGATCTTTATAACAAGTGGTGCCAGGCTTATACATTAACCAGATTGGTGAAACCAATGAGGAGCAGACAAACCAGGAACCATTATCAGGATGAATTCGCGATTCAAACCCACTGCCAGAGCCTTTTGACACTCACAAGGGAGATAACTCTGTACAACAAATTGCAGCATTGTAACATCTGTACCCTATCAGGTACAGACAACTTCTGACTTCAGGATAAGATCTCCTTCACTCCCAGGACAACAGTGCTGTCAATACACAACATATTCCCTTCCAATAGGAGACACTGACACCTTCAGGTTTCAAAGGGCCATGGTCAATTCCCCTTAGCTGATTATATCACAGCATTATCCCAAACATCCTATCAGTTGTCCTGCAGTTTCCTGTATCACACGATAATCACTCATACCCCATGCATGACACAGACTCTATTCTTCAGCTGAGCATGAACCCCACAGTATGCAATAAATTATGGGATCTTATTAAAAGGTGTCATCAACCTTTGACTCAATGCCTGTTTACGTAACGATCCTATTTCTTTCTGAAATTCATGCCTTTTGTTTGAGGCCTTGATGAAATGAAACAAGATATGTATGTTGGTATATATAATTAATTATACCACAGGAAATAAACAAGTGGTGTTGCCATCAAGACTGAACATGGGAAGGATTGCTGCTTAGTCTGGATCACAATGTCAACATTTTTCATTCCTTTATTTATGAAATCATGTTTGATCAATGCGTCAATAATTAACACTAAAAATAACATCAAATAGTTTTCGATTTGTTTTGCTAATTTAGACTTGACAAATTATGCTATCATTATTCAATGTCACAAGGAAACCAATTCATCAGCAACAAGAACTTCACTTAGAACTATTTTTAAAGTTTCGACTCATAATTATCACAATTTCCAGGGGCTTGGGGGCGGTGGGGTAGCCTAATGGTTAAAGCGTTGGCTTGTCACGCCGAAGACCCCGGTTCGAATCCCCACATGGGCACAATGGTTGTTTTTGCCCATTTCTGATGTCCCCCGCCGTGATGTTGCTGGAATATTGCTAAAAGCGGCGTAAAACCAAACTCAGTCAGTCAGTCAGTCCAGGGGCTTGTTTCCCAATGCTATTTCAGCACTGACTGAAGTAAATGTATACTATAGCATCTCATTCTGTATACAACATCAAAGCACTGAATATTGCTTCTGGGAAAAGTCCCTAGCAATTACTACCCTTCCAAAAGGGGTGCAAAGCTCTGGTTAATTGGCATTCCTAGCAAGTTAACCTTAGGGCTGGTACAATATCAGACAAGATGGGAGTACAGCTATATGTTATCTCTATTTGGGCTAGTTGACATTCTTGGTCAGCTCCTGATCGGAATGGTGATGTAGCCTTATGGTTGAAGCATTCGCTATTCAACCTGAAAGACCAAGGTTCAATTCCCAAAATGGGATCATGACCAGATCACATACCTTAACATAGACTTACAATAGTCTTAGCACTAAGGTTGTGGGACCATGACCAGATCACATACCTTAACATAGACTTACAATAGTCTTAGCACTAAGGTTGTGGGACCATGACCAGATCACAAACCTTAGCATAGACTTACAATAGTCTTAGCACTAAGGTTGTGGGACCATGACCAGATCACAAACCTTAGCATAGACTTACAATAGTCTTAGCACTAAGGTTGTGGGACCATGACCAGATCACAAACCTTAGCATAGACTTACAATAATCTTAGCACTAAGGTTGTGGGACCATGACCAGATCACACACCTTAACATAGACTTACAATAGTCTTAGCACTAAGGCTGTGGGACCATGACCAGATCACACACCTTAACATAGACTTACAATAGTCTTAGCACTAAGGTTGTGCACATTACATCTGAGACATGCATAGGGTTGACATGGTAACTAAATGAATGCATGGTCAGACTTCATCACAGTAGTTACATTGGCCTTAGGTTGTGATATTGTCTCACATCGGAATGCCAGGTTAGGTCATGACACCAGCATACCGGATATACAAATGGTCATGACTGGTGACATACTGTTTGCATGACATTGCATAACCTGACAGCTCATACAACCAATCACTGGTTCGTCTGGTCCAGATCTGACTATTTAGAAAACATGACTGTGGTGTTAAACAACAAACTGGAAAAGGATAAAACCTCTCACTATCAACCGGGCAGTGGGGTAGCCCAGTGGTTCAAGTGTTCGCTCGTCATGCCGAAGATTGAGATTCCATTCCCAAAAAGGGTACATCGTGTGAAGCCCATTTCTGGTGTTCCCCATCATGACATTAATATATTATTTATAATTTTGCTAAAAGTGGCATACAGAGGCATAAAACAAAACTCACTCACGTACTCACTATCAGCCACTTTTATTCTCAGACATGTCACAAAGAGCAGGCCATCATTCAGCCCATTAAGGAATGCAAGCAAGAAGTGATGCAGTTCTGTATTATTCAAAGCTTTGCCGACACCAATGACAACTGACATAGTGCTGAAAAATCAAGATTTATGAGTGGGTGAATCTCAGTTTCAAACCCATAAATAGCAGATTCTGGTTCTGCTAAGATTTAACTGTTCACAAACATTACTGAGTGTGGTGTTCAACAACAACAACTGAAGCAGGTTGGAACCCTTCGTCATCAGCAACTTGTTTTGTTTTCAGACAATTCCCAAGAACATGCCACCTACACACTTCTTCCAGCACACCCGTCCTCATCACTCACTCCCAGGAACATCCTCCTCCTTCATGCCACCAGCTGATACAACCAAGGCCTGGATTATATCACTCAGCCCGACTGCAGGTAGACACACGTAGACTACTCCCATTGTAGACACGACAGGCTCTCTTGGGTAATTTTATCAATTTCCTCACCAAAATTCATTAACTAATATGACCATGGATTCATCGGGGCCACTTTGTGCTTGGTACCGAATTAGGTGGAGAAGACCCAACAGGGCTGGTGGCAGGAAGTACCTTCTTTGTGACCATACTGATGGAGATTACACTTTCCGTTTGGCTGCCAGTTTCATTTCCCAGGGTTGTGATTTGGATATAGTGTATCCTTACCATGAGAAATAAATCTGTGTGAGAATTGGGTTTTAAGATTCTCTTATACTCAGATGCTCTCTATGACAATTAATAAACAAGATGTGCTCAACAGTCAGCAACTGAATGTATTAGAATTTCTGATTGGTTTTCTGTTTGGGTGGCTGAAAATATCCATCGTTATTTCCATACAAAAGATATTGTCTTTGGTCAAATGCAGACAAGTGTATATAGTTAGAACAAACAGCTTGGTTTTGATTGTGCTTCAGATGTATAACCATGATATAGTACAACTTCAAACTCCTCAGAATGCTTATTGATTGAGTGGTCATTCATTACCTCTGAAATAGATGGGTTCAGCTTCAGAAAAAAAAAAAAGTTGTTCAGATATTTATTTATTTTTTGTGGGGGGGGCATGGCACACCAACGACAGCACCTTCATTATCTAAAGTACTCACAGTAATTAATACTCAACAGGTATATTCTTTAGTTCTACACTGTCTTTGATCCTAAAGAGTTGCATTTTATGCTTTTTTTAAACAACAGTTCAACTACATGTTTACTTGTCAACTTTGCAGAGGAAGTAAAAAAATGTTGCAGATCTTTAAAGTTAAAGTTTTGTTGAAGCCAATGACAAGTAACAGTGCTGACAAACCAGGAATCAGAAGCAGGGTGATCTGGGATTGAAACCCATGAATAGTGAATCCTGGTTCTGTAAAGGGATGCAACTCTGTCCAGTGAATCTGATCACTTGGTCACATGTTCCCTTCTTTTATCAATTAATTATGTTTGCTCTTTAATGCCAAACTCCACAACATTACAGTTAATAGGGTGGTGGTCTGCACATAAGAAAGTCCTGACCAGACAATCCAGTGATTGACTGTGTGAACATTGATCTACACCACAAGGACATAATGACATGCACCAGCCTGACCACCTAATCCTGTTGGATGCCTCCTACAATAAGCATGGGTTGCTGAAGACCAATTCAAACTCAGACCTTCACAAGTCTAGATCTAATGACTAACAGCTGTAATGTTTCTAGTTACAGACAATTTTAATCGTTCTTAATGTTTAAATAATTACATAGTCCTTAAGCAGAAAATTGTATCAAGATTTTCATGTTGAAACATACCTTAGAACACATTAACACACATTACTGCAAATATGAGGATATGTTTAGAACTTTAATCTTTACATGCACCATTGACTTTATTAAGCATTCTGCTCCATTACATGGTTTCCGGAGTCACTGATAATTGGAAAGTACTTGTATAATCTGCTTAATCACCTCTACAACTAGTTGCTGGACATAAAAATTCACATTTCAGTCACTGGGAGGTGAGATGGAAGTCTGTATTGTATTAAAAGTGCATGGATGTATAGTATTCTATTCTTCTAAAGAGCAAGTACAGAACAGCCAGCATTCTAAAGACGCCTGAGTCTTTG